ATAGCTGCTGATGCTATAATTTTTAAAAATTTAGAAGTTAGAGTCTGTATTTTATGGAAATTTAATGAAGTTATTTTAGGTATACATAATGAGCGGGCCCAAAACTGCACTGTCACCTCCTAGTGATGAGCCGCGGTAATGGCGGAGGATAAAGAGGTCATTGAAACGTTCAAAGTTACATTCGTGTCGTGGTCAAGTCCCGCGGCGAACTTCTTGCTTTGTGAATTTCAGCCCTAACTAACACAGTTAGTGCTCAAGGGTCTGCAGAATCAGAGCTTCTCTCGACTAACGCAGAGGTGGAACTCCTTCTCACGCCAGTAGAAGAAAGGCGAAGAGTCCGATGGAGACGGATAATCAGGATTCTCTTGGACCAATTATCCAACAAACTGAGGAGGACCTGAAAAGGTTGGATATCAGGAGAAAGAACCATTATTTCTCTGGTGCATGCAAGCGACGTATCGCAACATACATCAGGGATGACATAATAGAGTCAAAGGACGAGACAACCGTCAATCTCTCCACTAACAAATTTCTAAGCAGGATATGGAAGCAAAATCCTAGCCCCAAGATGAGTTCCTGGAGAGTTCCGAGGATTCATAGGGAAAAGAAGGGGGTTGTTCCATCACCTTCTCTGTGAATTATTCCGGCTTGGAAGCTCTACGGAAAGCGGAGTTGCGACTTTTCCTAAACTTCTTCCGTGTAACCGTTCGGGTTATAGGACGGAAATCCTCTAAAGGTGCTGACGACAGAGCAGCACACTTTGAAAAACTAACGCCCACCGCGACAACAACGAGCATTTCAGACCAACCAAAAGAGTCAAAATTGAAAAGTCTGAAGTCGCTTCGAAAATGGCGGCAAGGCAAATGGAAGGATCATCAACCAGTACGCAAATGCAAGCATCCCGGGTGAACCAAAAGGGCTTAAGCCCATTGACAAACTCGGAACTGCTTCAGTATTTGCTGTTGGAGGGGCCAGTGCGGCACCTAGGACGGCAAAAGAGGCTGTATGGGAAGCACCTACCAAGATGCGTAAAAAAGCGGCAATGAGAAATAAAGCTCATGTAAAGCCTTTGTCTAAAGGTCCAAAGCCCATAGACAAGAGCCGGAGAAAATGATGGCTGTGAGGTGCATCCGAATAAATCTACAGAATGCTACGGCATAAACTGAGCTATTGTATGATAATACAATTGCGGGCGAGCCTAGGGAATTTTATTTAAACTAACATATCTTCCCATTCCAGATTACTGCTCCAAGGATCAGGTAGCTGCCTTGGTGAAGGTGAAGTCTTCCGGGGGTTGGATAGAGTTTATTGCGTGTTCTTCCTACCACCCGGGAGACTGTATCCATCCAGACGAACAACTGAAAGATCTAGGGGACTTTTGTGTGAGAAGGAACTTCTAACTGATAATAGGAAGTGATGCCAATGTCCACGACACCGTTTGCGGAAGCAGTGATATAAATAAAAGAGATGAGTCTTTACTTGAATTTATATATAGCAATAAGTTAATTATTATGACTGAGGGCAATAAGCCGACATTCATAAATGCAATTAGGGAAGAGGTCCTTGACATCACACTTTTGCACTGAATTTATCGCAGCACGATTGGTGGATGGCATGTCTCAAAAGAGACATCCATGTCCGATATCATGGTCTCCGGGGCCTTGCAGAAGAAATACTTCGGCTGCCCCAATCCAAAGAGTCAATTCGAAACGCTCCTCATGGATGGAATTGGATCCATTTCTACTTGTGTAAGAACGGTGATGGATATCGAACTGGCCAGCGAAGCTCTGACGGTGACTATTACTAATGCGTACCATGGGAGCTGCCGCGCTAAGCCAGGGCGGAACAATAGAAAGCGTCCGTTGTGGAATGAGAGGCTTTCAAGGCTTAGACTAAGGACCAGAAAGCTATACAACAAGGTCAGGGCGTCCGGTTCGTGGGAGGAGTATAAAGACTCACTCACGAAATACAATAAAGAAATTAGGAAAGCGGAGAAAAGTTCGTGGAGGGCGTTCTGCAAGGGCATTGATGAACTCCCCAGCAGTGCACGTCTTTATAGGGTGCTTTCCAAAAAGTATGCTGGCGGGTTGGGCCTGATGGAACGGCCTGATGGTTCCACGACTAAGAACGGAAAGCAGACATTGGAGCTTATGGTCTCAACACACTTTCCTGACTCGGAGATTCTTCGGAATCACTTGAACGCGATCATTAAACCGATGGCGTCCTGGCCCAGGAGGGATGACTGGCAACGATCCCGTTTAGTCTTCACGATGGGCATGATTAGATGGGCTGTTTTCTCTTTTAGGCCCTTCAAATCTCCAGGTGATGACGGGATATATCCTACGTTTTTACAGAGGAGTTTTCAATATATATGCTATGCGTGGGGTTGCATCTGTCAGGCATGGAGGGAGGCTAAAGGGACGACGCATTGGGAAGCAATCCCTTGCATCAATTTCAGTACGCCTATCAGTCGGGAAGGTCTGCAGTACTCGCTCTGCAGAGTCTAGTGGGGGTCCTTGAAAACTCATTGGAAGTGTGGGAGGTGGCAGTTGGCTGCTTCCTTCATATAGAGGGAGCTTTTGACAACACTCCATATCAGGTCATCTGCGAATCGTTGCGCAAACGAGGGATTGATGTGACAAAGAGCAGATGGGTTAATCGGATATTGACAAATTTTTATAATTGTAAAACATCAGAACTGGGTCAGAATGTATATTAATTTTACGACAAATTGTCGTGCTGTTCTTCCAATGAATAAACTTGCAAATAAGGCAGATTATGTGGCTTGAATTTCTTTTCAATTATTGTAAATTAATGAAAATTATGTTATACAGGTTATAATCCAACAACTCTCATTTTAACTTTTCCAATTTTTAATACTTACATAACAAGATCGAAATAGAAATTATGAAGCAAACATAATTTAATGCACTATAAAGTGTTTATTATAAAAATTTTTAAAACTAAAATTATTGTCAAATTTAACACAAAAATTGAAAATTGATTTTAAACACAATATATGGTAACATAGGGGAACAATGTTTTTTTAACTGAAAGAAATAATGTAGCAAACTTTTCGATTACCCTTGAAAAAAAACTTTTTTTTCCTATATATTTTTTCTTTTTTTTAAATTTGTGATTGAATGTCATTTTATTGTTTTGACCATTTAACCTTTCTTTATTGATTTTCGAATTGATATCAAATTAATCTTGGAAATAAATTAAATTTGTACCTATAGGTCATCACAATTTTACAAAACAAATTAAAATAATTGTATAGTACCAACTGAAGAAAATTTTGTTAAAGGATCACGGTAACCTCTTCACGAATATTAATGAATTGTAATGATTCATATTATTTTTTTGTTCCTGCTTTACTCCCTTTGAGAGCTTCCATAAAGCTTCTCCAACGAACTCTGTTATTTTTACTAGGGGCCATTCTTTTTACTTCTGGCCATGTCATGTGAGCCGCGGCGGTTTCTTTCTTTATTGTTCTTTGTCACGTATTCTTTGGCCGTCTAACACTTCTTCTATCCTGCGAATTCCACTTCAATACATGACACGGAGTCGCAATGTATGGCCTATCCTTCTCCATTTTTTCATCTTTATCACCCTTGCGAATGGTTCTTGGTGGGTTAAAGTCCAAATATCAGTGTTGCTGATTCGTCAGGGCCAGAACACAAGGCAGATGATCATTAGGGTTCTATTTATGAATACCTGTATTTTATTTGTGTATTCATTTTTTACTAGCCATGTTTCGGAACCATACAAGAGGACCGATTTCACACATATGTTGAATATTCTCAGCTTTGTATTCCTGGATAAGTGCAAGGACTTCCATATAGTCCATAATCTGCTGAATGCCGCCTTAGCAAACTTTAGTCTATTTTCAATGTCTTCTTTGACCCCTCCGGTTGTCGATAGTATACTACCGAGGTAGTTGAATTGTTCAACATCTTGTATAGCGGCTGCATTTATGGCGAAGGGGATAGTGTTTGCTGCGTTGATTCGAAGGGATTCGGTTTTTCTTGTATTTATATTCAGACCGACCGCTGCTGCTTTTATATGTAGCTCATTCAATTTTGCTTGCATGTCTGAATATGTGTGGGACAGCAGAGCGATATCATCTGCGTATTCCAAATCCTTCAGGTGGCTCGTTAAAGTCCATTGTGTGCCCCTTTGGAGTGGTTGTTGACTTTAGTATTATTTCGTCTAAGGAATTCATATTATTATTAAGAAGTAAAATCAAGAAGCCTTTAATCCTTCATTTACGACTAACATGCCGCAGTAGTTTTTATAATACCGCTTTTTATTAGAAAATATATAAAATTTAATGAAAATTTTTATTCTGAATTAATCATAAAATCCTGAATGTCTATACTGCTCTTAAAATAATTATAATGAAAATATTTTATATTAAGAATTTAATAAATAAATATTTTTCTAAAATATTAGTGTGAATGATTAAAAGCTATTATTAGAAAATTAAATACCGTATTTATATACAAAATAAAATATATAATAATAAAAATATGAAACTACCATGAAAATAACCCTTTTTCTATATAAAAAAAGCAAAACGGAAAATTAGAATGTTAAAAATTATAATCAAACCATCCGAATATTAAGAAAAACCATGAATGCACGAAGCATACTTTCATATATTTTAACTCTTAGTAAGCTGCACGGGATCAACAAAGTTTCAAAGCAAAAAAAGGGCAAGAAAAAGTAAGAGAGCTTTGAGCAACGCCTTCACTACTTAAGTAATATTTTCACTGAATTCACAAAATATATTATAAATCTATTTATCAACGAAACTTTTACATATTCCGCCTCGAATGCAAAACAGATGAATCGGGAACATGATTTCTACCACAAGTTTTCATTTGACCTCAAAGATTTAGATCAGAATTTTAATTTTTTTTTGCACTACATACACTTTGATTTTTTTTTATTTTTAGCACTTCAATGTAGAATTTTTTGCAGGGGAGAATAGAGACACCAAGCGACTAATTGTGTCCTTTTCGCGTTTCATCTTTGCGCACGGCTCATGCTAATCTTCTCTGTATCTTTCCAGTTATAGTATATGTTCTGCCGAACTAAGAACGTATACTTTTTTGATGCAACTTAACTAAAGATTATTATAAAAATATTGCATACTTATAGGATTTGCAAAACTAACTTCAATTTAAGAAGTAACATATTTGTCAAAATTCGGGAAAAAACGCAGAATATCTATCCAAAATTGATCTATGAATCAGTTTCCAATTAGTTTTTAAATTTTATACGCCTACTATTCTTACACTTAACGTTTTGTGCTTTAAGTAATAATACCGAGAAATTTTTTTCAGAAGCCGATTTTTTCCCAGCCACCTTAATATTTACGCGACCATTTGCTACCTTTTTATATAATCAGCAGCTTTTCGTTTTGCGTTTTTTTTTCCTTTCTTATTTTTTTTTTTTTTTCGTACAAAACAAATGCCAATTTGACACGCAAATGTCATTATATTCACATTTAAGTGAAACGTACGTGAAAACAATTCGAAAAATATAAAAAGGAAAACGCCACTTTTTTCTTCGTTATTTTTGATATTTTGTTTTTGTTTTTGACTCGCACCTTTTTTAACCATTGTTATGGAATTTTAGACTTTTTTTTTCTTTAAAGTGATAATTATATAGGTCCTTTGGGCATTTTGGTGCGGTTTATTGTCTTATGTTTATTTTTGTACGTCAATTTTCCTTTGCACGTTTTTTTACTTTTGTTTTCGTTGACCGTAGAAAATAGACAAAAATTAATAATTTAAATAGCTATGGTGAGCTACTCGATTATTTCAAATATTGTAACTCTGTTTAAGTGTAGTGAATTGAATGAGGCAAAATATTAAAAATTTATTTTTATATTTCTATTTGCAAACTAAATATAGATCATAGTAGTATTTAGTTTCTCGCGAAATATCTATGCGTTTTTATAACCGATCGGAAATTTATTAAATTAAGATTGTGTATCTCGCTATTTTACACGCCAAATGGTAGGAAAGTGAGTAGAATGTATGATGAAATTTTCGAGTGGCAAGAATTATTCGGCATTGAGATACTCAATAAAATGTATACAAAATTTTTTCATTTTGTTTTTGAAGGTGAGACGTTCAGTTAGTAAATTGAGAAAAAACTCAAAAATCCAATTGAAAATTAAAAAATCTTATTGGAAAAATGAAAATATCTATTAGAAAATTGGAGAATTCTAATTCGAAAGTGAATAAAAAGTGAGATGTAAGAGCAAGGTACACAATGATATTGTAAATTTAACTTTGAAAATCAAAAAAAAAAATTTTTGTACTAGAATAGGGTGTAGATTCGCATTTCTATTTTCAGTTTTTAATGCAATCCGAATGTGGTAGGCGTCTAGGCTCTCCAGACTCCAGTAAAGTATTTCAAATATTCCTATAACTTTAAAAATGAAATCAACTGCGAGATAAATTTTTTTGAAAAAATTTTCTCTATAGAAGCAAGTGATTGTAGAAATCAGTCAGATTCCCATTGGACTTTTACTTTCACCTTTTAAATTTTTAAAAGGGTACTTTTTCATTAGCGTTTTGATTCTTCGTGAAACAGATATTTTCCAATTTTTTTTTTTATTAATTAATTAATATTAAAAATTTCTGATGTTATATGTTAATTAGACTCCTGTAAATTCAATATATTCAATATGTTAAAATTCAATATATTAAAGATTATACTAAGACTAACTTATATCTACATATTATTTATTAATTCTATATTATGTTCTCATATAAGACGTATATGTAGCAATATACTTAGCTTAGCATCATTTATAATATTAATGTATAGAACAATATATCAACAATGTATGTATACAATAATGTATACAAGAGCTGGCGCTATAGAGCCCCAGGTAAATAATATACGATTACTTATAGAATTTTTATAATAATAAAAATTCAAATTATTTGTCATATTCCGAATATTTCTGAGGTTTTATTACTTGCTGTTATTTATAACAATTGTTTTACATTACCAATATTGCTTGCTGATGTTGATATTAGAATCAAAATATTTGATTCCTGCAGATATACGATTAGAGCCATTTATTTCAGTTTTAGAAATAAATTTTACATGTAAATTAATTTTAAGAGAGAAGTGCAGCGTATGTAATTCACAATTTAAGCTTAATTTCGTATAAATATGCGCTTCGCTTCCAGGACACAAATTTGAATATTTGAAAACATAGATACGCTCATTTTTCCTAACAATTTTATATATTCGATGGCACCAATGATTGATAAACTTCAATTTATATATATTTTATTAAAAAACCAAGATCGTATAAAAATATCATTGGCCTTTGAAGGACATTCATCAAATACAATATATTTTTTATAACTGTGCAGTACACGTACATATACACAAAATAATTGTAGTTTTATGAATTGTTTTTCGTTTTCCTTTTTTTTTTTCTCCTCGTTTTTATTTTTTATTATTTGAAATTTGTATTTGATTAGTTTTTGTTGAAAAATATATTAAATATAAATGGGTTACGATTACATTTATGCTCTATTTAGTGGAAATAAATGTTATTTAATGATTTTGTATATAAATATCAAAAAAAAAAAATGGAAAAGTGTAAAGGCCGAAATAATAATAATAAAGGATATTTTTAAATATATGACTTGGTTTCGTTTGCACATACACATATATATATTTTTATATACAGGATATTGTAAATTGATATAACATTTATTTTTAATTTATAGTTTTACACTACACAATATTCTATAATGTAAATAAAAAGAATATTTTTATTTCAAGTCAACACTTTCCTCCCATATTTTAATTTGAACAAAAATTTTTATTGATTTTCATTTACCTTGTATATTTTGTTGAAATATAACGTGCCTTGAAATTCATAGTTTATCTATTTTACTATAACTGCCAACAATTATTATAATTATGGATTTAATAATTGTGCAATGAAATTAGTGTTAGGTGAAAAATAAATAATTAATAAAAGCTCGTTAATAAAGAGAAACAAATCTACATCGAAATCTTGATTAAATTATACTTCAAATGGCGGTGGATCAATATTAGCAGATCGATTTACTGAAACCTTTAAGGTTTGTGCTGTAATATCCCGTGATATTATAAGAGCTCAGCAATGGATATGGCGGGTATGATGTAATATAAAATAATCTTTGTTTATATAATAAAAAGACAAGACAAAATCCATAAATCATGTAATTCTTTTCATACAGAAACCGTTTTCTAGTAAAACATAAATTAACAGTATAATTACTAGCGGTTTTGTGATAAATCCTAACTTGAGCATGTTGACTTACATCTTTTTTACTCCATCGTAATAATACTTCTGTCTTCCGCTTAAAAGAATCCGATATCAAGACCTTACAATGTTTTAATCTAAGAATCGTGCACATCGAATATTTTAAACTTGAAAACTATATTTAATATCACACGCACAAGTCCCGTACAAGCTCTTTTTTATAACTTCTTACTCTTGTTACCTTAAGTCCTATGATTTTTCTGTGTTCCTTCTGGAAATTCAATGAAAAATTTTAAAATGTCATGTAGATATTGGAAAATTTTTGTAAAATGTTAACTAGATGTAAATAATTCGAAGAAATAAAAAATCTTTAATACACTCATATAACAGTTTACATAAAAATATAAAAATCAAAAATACCAAGTAATTTAATTTATATACCTTAATTATAATATTATTTTCATTCAAATGTAAATGGAAATAAATTTTCATTTGCATTGGGTAGGAACCCACGCATACAAACAAACGTATATCAATACTAACAATAATCGTGTAGGATTTATGTAGTTTACAGAAATAATCACTTTTATAAATGAATATTTTCATTTTATTAATAAAATTATAACACTTCACCTTTGATTTCTCATTATTTATAACTTTCACTTCAATTTTATCCCTAATTACTATAATTTTACATTTTCAATTTCTTCTTTTATTTTGTGAACGTTTCCGAAAAAAAAATTGTTTTTGATCTTTAACTATGTTTGCTTTCAAAAAAAAAAGTAAAAATACGAACTGATCCCACCTTTTTTTTTTTGGCATACAACAAATTTTTACCTCTTCCAAACCATTACTTCACTATAGTAGTATTCATTAAGAGATTTAATTTATATTTCTCACAATTCGAATATTTTGGAGTAAAATAATTATAATCCTTTTTTTTTCTGGAAATGCTTTCATTTATGCGTTATAAACTCTAAGAAAAAAAAACTCAAAAAAAAAGAGAGTAAAAATATTCAGGACGTGAAATGAAAATTTTATTTTTAATTTTTTTGCTTTTCATTCCTGTTTTTTGTTCTTGTTTCGAAAAATTCCATCAGTTTTGTTTAATGCCAAGTATAATCACATTTCTAGAATATTGGAATATGATAAAAATAAAGAAAAAGTACAAATTAAAAACTTTGTCTTCTCAGTATAAAAGATGAAATTTTCCATGAAATTAAATTCAATCTTTCGAAGAATAATATGATTAAAAACAAAAAATTTTGGTATATAATGTATAATAATTATATTGTATGTAGTACAAATATACAAGGAAAATTAAAAAGTAGAGATTAAAGTAAATCTGATTGATTCTGTAGAGACATCCTTTACATGTCGATTGAAGTAGAGTTATAATTTAATTTTAATGCGTAAACTGGAAAAAACTGGACTCTTTACCGAAAGTTCATCTCATTTCTAGCACTTTTTCAAAAAAAATATCACTCTGTCCGTCCGTTCGCCCGCGTACATATTTACAAAACTTTTACACACATGAAAATAGAAAGCTGAAATTTCATATATAAATCAATCTTTTTTTCTAAAAAGAAAGCCCATACCGGTCTCCCCCTCTCCAATAGTTATAGCCCCTTAAAAACCTGAAAATTGAACTTTTTAACTTTTTATTTCAAAGAAACTATAAATATTTTTCACATTTTGCAAAAAGCAAAAAAAGCGCGATCGGCCTCATCTAACACGGCATACAATATTTGAACTTTAGAAAAACAAAATGGCTTCTAAAATTAACTGTTATCTAAAACCCGTTCTTGTCG